AAAATGACATATGAATAATAAGATAAAGCAGCGTTACAAAGCCTACCGGTAATCTTTTCCGTCAAATTTTCTTGCCGATGTGAAGAGAACAGTACGAGCAGGCAGTTCCATTGAGAATGCGTCAGTTACAAACAGAGTCTGCAAAAATGTAGCGAACATTGAAAAAAAAAGTAAAGACAAGCACTACAGCTTCACTAAACTCTTCAAACGTCTTTCCTAGCAGCAGCCAGTGGCTTGCAAAACATTACAGAAAAAATGGTGTTATAAAACTACAAAGTGATCTTCCATTTTCATCATACAGAGACACACAATGCGAGTTACAGCGGTCTTTACGAGAAGCTAATTTGTAAGATGACGTCCAAAAATGCCTCGCTTATCAAAAATGTTAGGACGCACAATCAAGCAACGATTTTAAACAGCCGCTCCGGCCTTACGAAAAAAAAAACTTTTTTTCTCATGCAAAAATTTGGTATTTGAAAGTTAGCAAGTTAAAAAGTCGTTTTTAACAGCCCTCAGCAAAACAGTAATTTGCGCATTCAGCGCACCTGGACTTTCCTCGTTCATGTAACCGAAAGGAATCGGCAAGTTCTTTCACCAGCTTTTTACCTTTTTATATTGTGCATTCCGTGGTATAATCAATATAATCGTAAAATAAAGTGCTATTAGCCTAAGAAGCAGATCGGAGCTAAAAGCAAAGTCTTTCAAAAAAGTGCAGTCATTGAACTTAATTTCATGATTCACAACAGCCTTTTACGACTATATTGATTATACTGTTTTAGAAAAGGCAGCCAGCAGCTCCCAGCCGATTCGTCTGCGATACAGAACATCCGGTATTTGAAATCCCAAGCGGGTAAAGAGAATGAAAGACCTCCAACGCGCAGCAGTCTCAAATTTCCATGGATCGCATGTGCGCTAAGTAGTAAAAAAAGAGCGGTCGCCTACCACCAGTGATCAATTTTTAACGCACTGCTTACTTTGATCAAGCCTTCTCCATACAATATCTCTGTTACTTCTTTGACGATCGGAAGCAGGCCTGAATGATGGATTCCAATGCCACGCAACAACAGCGGAAGCAGTCGTCCGATGTGAGGCAATTTGCTTTCTTCTTCAGACAGCAAACTGACCGCATTCAGAAATATTTCCTTCACCGCTGCTTTTTCCTCTTCTAAATCAATCAGCAGACATTGTTCGATTGCAACAACAGTTTAAAAGAGAAAAAGAAGCCGATCAAACACTAGCTGAAGCTTAAGTGACCTGAATTTTGAACTTCTCCAAACCACAGTTTCAAGAAATGTTAATTCTTTAGAAGGGTAAGGATACTGAAGACGAAAACGGACCAGAGTTTCGGGCAGTATTTTTCAGGTAGTACAGCTACTCCAAATAATAAGACTTTCAAGGGAAATCGAATACTTCCCACTGGCATACTGCAGAACGCTGGACAAACCCATGCAAAGCTCCTTCTCTCTTCATAATTTTCCGACTTTTCCCAGATCTCGAGCAGTTAATCAGTCTGTGTGAGTTGCTCACTCTTACCCGTTTTCTAATATTTCTTCAAGATGTTCAAAACAGAGATATAGTTTTGCGTATTTCGTCTAATTTAATGTAATTTTTTCGTGTTTCCTGCTTTAGCGCGGTGTTATTTTGCGATTTTCCTTTTCATAAACGCTGCGCGCTAGGTGTTTAACTTTTTCAGTAAGAAGTTTTAGCTAGGTTTTAGGGAATGAATGGGATACGGTCAAAATTAAACTAATTACTGGGAGGATAACAGACTAAGTAGACCATGCGGTGATGCTGAATATTTTGTGCCGATTACGCTCACCAAATATCAAAGAAGGACAATGAAGCGACAAAGCAGTCACTCTACGAGTTCAAAAATAATAGCTTGCATTCATTTACTGATTTTGTTCGAGGAATGCTTTTCCCCGTTCACTTTGGACAGATCACTTACAACACTCCTGCCACATTTGCAACATCACGGCACCCATGATATATAACAAAATTTGCCAAAAAATTACTTCCTCCTGCCCTGGTCTACTTATTGCAATTACCGGAAATTTTTTTTTTTGACAGGTAGTGCAGCTGTAACACTGTTCACTCACGAACATTGTCATTTCTCACGCTTATCTCGAAAATTTGTTATGCGACAAAATTTAACAGCACACACCCACATTTCATTGGGAAATCTTTGCAACCCTTGGTTTATATAAATGAACTGCGAGTAACACCAGTTGGCTGAGCAGCAAATTTGGTTGCCTCGGCTATGGTAACCACGCATATGGTTGCCAGCCGCGCATCCACGAAAAACTGACCGAAGTGAAATAGCACGTCCAATGTGAGAACCAGCAAGTCGCGCCCATGAAAAATAGGCTTAGTGCTAAACGCCGAAAAAACCGTCAAAAGCCAATTCTGGTATCAGATTTTGCCGGATCAATGCAAGGACATGCCATTTACTTATATTTACCTGTGTTGAAATCAAGATTTGTCATCTGTGCTGCATATGCTTCACATTCGTTACGATTGAACGAGAAAATGATCACTGGAATCATATCTCGCTCTTTGATCGTGCGTATTATTCTCACAATATTTGTCATGCCTGAAATGAACAATTTTTGCTCACATTTTCCACTGCAGTACCATCAGCACCTCCCCCGTCTAAAACATCATTCGTAAAGGAATTTCTGCAGTTGCACATACTGGAAGTACTAAATTAATTGATGCGTCCGATAAATGATGCTGACGATCACTCAAAAACAGTGTCGCGTAACAGAGTAGCCGGTGCGATTATACTTTTATACGGTTCCGTTCAGTAGACAACTCCTGCTAATGATGTATGCAAAAATTATCGAGACGTTATCTGATTCCGGGACTTGAAAGTTCCTCGCCCGCACGCGAAACTCAGGCGTGCGCGAAAGCCGAATTTAAATTTATGGGGTCGCACATGGGCAGGGAAAGTTCTGAAATTTCAATTTCCCGATTTTCCTGGTTTCACACCTAGAAAACTACTGCTTGAGACTCTGCGTACTTGTAGATAAGTAGGTGTAAAACTGAACTTAAATCACCCGTGTCACAAACAGTCAAAAAAAAAAAAAATCTCAAAATTCCATTTTTTCATCTTATCTGGTTCCCGAATTAAAAAACCGTAAAGTCTACACATGCATACTGTCTCGGATCAAGCTCGCAAATTTCAGCTCTTTGGTTGTTTTGACTACGAGTCAGAAGAAACCTGTCGTCAACTTCTACATGGCTGCGCGCGAGATGTGAGGGAGAGTTGAAGGCTGATTTCATGTCATTCAGTTGCACACGGTCATGGACTGTGCTCAGAATATTGCAGCTCTCTAGTAATAACTTGATTATGGCGCTATAAAATTGTCAGCGTCAACTCTCCACGCATCCGCCCGTGAAAACTGGGTGTACCTGCAAGCTCATTGTGCGTTTTGTACTGAGTAACAACGTTACAAAACGCATATTGTCACGGGGTTGTCTGTGTGTATGTGTGTGTGTGTTTGTTTGTGTGTGTGTGTCCCATGTTTTGTCCCGCACTTTCAACTCGGAAACCACAAAAGCTAGGCGGCTGAAATTTTGGTATAGTGTTC